TCTATTTTTTAATTAGAAATGTTTTAACCACATTTCATGTCCGCGTCCTGCAGTCTTTATGTGTACGTAGCTTAGTCCAGATCTTCATGGATCACAAACAGAAACATTGATGGGCACAAATGGAATAAATGGAGATTTTTATTATTATTTTCCTGAACCAGTTAAAGGTGAAGTGGGAGTATTTGAGCATGTCGTTCAGGATAATCTGAATTAGACGAGTGTTTGGTGTTAGGAGATTTGTAACAATAAATAAATGAATAAGAGACATCAAGGTCTAATTTCCAATGAAAAAAACATTTACAAATCTTAACTTTGTGTTTAGTTTGGTACCCATGGCAACGACCCATCCCCCTTTGTTTCCATCTACAGTCTGAAAAACCAAGTTCCTTTTCAGCAGCGCAGTTTCCTCATATGTGTGTTTGTTACTGTCGCCACGACGAGGGAATTCCCGTTCAAACCAAACTCCTCGTCGCTCTGTTTCTGTCCGGACAGAGGAGAAAAACATCCGATTGGGTCACCCGGTTAAACAACCTGTTGCTTCATGTGATTCAAACCGGTGTTGAGTCATGAGCAATGAGGCCTCTAATTCCAGGCAGCCATGTAAACATCACTTAAGATCTTTTTTGATGCTCATCCAGCAAAAGTGAACTGCTTAGTCATGCTTGGCTCTCATATCCACATTCACTCAGGTCATCCAATACGGCCGTGCTGCTGGGAATCAAAAACCTTGTTCAATAGCACTTTAAGGTCAAGTGTTGCATGACGGATGAGTGCGTCTGACGGAGTTTTCTCAGAAATCACAGCAACGTTGTCGTCATAGCCGTCTCCTTCAGCCCGCTCTCCTCAGCGACTCAGGTCTTATGATTTAGATTCATCCTCCAAGCATCAGAGCCCAGGATCAGTGGGTCATGTGATGCAATGAGCGAATGAAATTGTGTCTGCTTGTGTTCTCCTGCAGTCAGTCCTCATGTGCTCACGCTGCTCTTTTGCATTCTGATCTGCCCTTCTCTCTCGATGTTTGCAACACACAGAATATGTTAGTAAAATGAACTCTCACTTGCATTTTTCCAGTTTTCCAACCAAAACTGTGTTCATTTGCAGGACAATCCATCAATAACGAAGATGAAGAAACACACAGCTGTCAGTTGTTATTATTCTATCTGACTTCTCTCTCCTAACGGCAGCAACAAAACTCTTTAGCCTAATTGCGGCTGTGGACTCCTAATCAGGGACCAGATGCAGTTTGCAAATTAAGAAGTGGCCATTATCTGCAGAGCAAAGAATTTTAAGACAGCTAATTAAAAGTGAGTGCACATTTTTTGGCAGCATTTCCAAAAGCAGATCTCAACAGTTTGCAAAAATAACAGCGAGTTGGTTTCTCTTGTCTGAGTCCTGTCATTTTCATTTTCGGTGGCTACACTTCACTGTTTATGCCAGCTTCCTGGACAGTTTCCAGCTGAGGTAGAGATATTAATGTTGTGATTTTGGAATGCAAAAGGACTGTGCAGCAATGAAAATCTATGCAATCTTTATTAATGGTGCACAATCTTAAGCTTACAAAGCCATCACGTGTGGAGCGTACTATGAATGACACACACACTGACCCATGCACAGTTGTGCAGCTCATTTGCAAACTGTTTATGCTCAGTATTTGGTTGCTATGGATGCATGATGTCACATCCCGCATGCTTTGCTACAAAAGGGAGTCTGAAAAGTTTCGGTGCAGCCGATGACTCATGTTGTCTTTACATCAGCACACTAATGCCACAAAACACAGACAGAGGGATAAACTCGGCATTTGGTGGGAGGGGTTTTACCGATGACAAATAATAAAAGCTGCATTGCTGAGGCAACAGGAGTGCAAAAACATACTGAGATTCATTTCTGAGGCAGGTGAAGGAAAGCACCAGCCGGCTGCAGATGCTAACGTCCTCATGAAGCTAAATAAGCGACTCATCTTGCACAATAACGAACCCCAGCATTAACTCTGTTCTATTTTTAAATTACAAGCTAAGTTTTGATTACACTAGATCACAAGATAATTTTAAAAGCTCAATCACTGACACAATCACATCTCATGACAGAGGGACAAATTCTTGAATTGTAAAATTTGCAGAAAGGTTTTTCATAGATGCAACCGAAAACCAGGAAGGATGACCTCACCTCCAGATTCAAACGCACCCTTAACCCCGTATGGAACCAAGGACTCACTGGAATGAGAATCCGTATTCCAGGTCAACTGTTACCAGGTGTGGAGGTGCTGAACGGTGGCCTAAAGCTGGTTCCTCTCTGTGATGGACCGGTAACCATGGTGACAAAATGTGTGCCTTAAATTACAGAATAAGGTCTCATTTTTTATCATTTTACAAGTGAGAGCTGTAAGTTATCATTAGACTCAATGTGTGGGCAATTCTGCTTCTAGACATAATTACGCATATTTTCAATTCAAGTTTATTTATATAGCGCCAAATCACGACAAGAGTCGTCTCAAGGCACTTTACATAGTAAACATTCCAATACAGGTCAGTTCATTAGGCCAATCAGTAAAGGGTTCCTATATAAGAAACCCAGCTAATTGCATCGTCACTGACTTGATGCATATTTGAACATTGTCAGAATCAGAAGGTTTTATTGCCACATGTGCGAGAATCACAACTTTAGGAAATCGCTGCAGTGCAAGAAAAAATGAATGGTGAGCGAAAATTAGAATTAAGAAATAAACAAAATAAAATGATAATGATATAGGCAATCAAGAATTAAGGAAGCAGCTACTTTTTACGAGTCAGTGTAGATACTGGTCAGAGTGGATCAGTTCAGGTGCAAACACAACAAAGGGCGATGTTACTGGAATAAAGCCGCTGGAGCGGGCAGGTCTACGATTGTCGCTCATGAGTCCGGCTGACGAAGGGAAGAAGCCAAGAGGGCCAAACGTTTTAAAGAAGTCTTCCAGTTTTCCGGTTCTTCGTTGTTTATTTCCTTGTGACAACACCACCCAGCGATGACTAAACCTGGACCTGATACCTTACCTTCACTTTTCATAATTAGCTCTAAAGCTGCTTGGTGCAGAACCCCTTTAACTAAACACACAGTGTGAAAGTTGTGCCACGTTAGTTTGACATGTCTGTGTTTCTATCACGTAAATATTATTGGATGTAAATCCGATAAACCGGCGGTTACAGAGCGGAAACTGCTCACACGCTCCACCTGTGCGCTGTACTTCTATGTGGGTTGGTCTAAATGCAAATGCAGTCATTAATCTGTCAACAGAAGAAGCTCGTTTTGGTTGTGTGCATTTATAACTTTGCATTTTCATTCAAATGCATCTGGATTTCCTAATAATTGTGCAGTTTTACTTTTATGATGCTGTAAATGTTGTCATTCTGAGCTGCTTTTAAGGTCAGCATGAATCATCGCTGCTATATGGAAGCTTCATGCTTCCCTTCAATCATGGTGACAGGGACCCCATCCACGAGCGTTTTCTGTCCATCAAGCCCATCGACTCATGACAGGATGTGATGCTGCTGAGTGCTGAAAAGGTGCCCACTGCTGAGATCTCCTATTAAATAAATAAATATATAAAATGAGTCCACCGTGAAGGCGCTCGCCCGGGCCCCTGGGTCAAACAATGCTGCTCTGTTCCAAATATGTTGTTTGTCACATTGCCTTCCTTTAAACTGTCAATGGGGCTTTTGTTGGGCTCGGCCTCAGCTTCGTCTGATGCAGCTGGACGCAGTGTTTTCATTAGATGTGCTGGATGTTTTCTGAGCTATTAATACGCTCACAAGTAAACATTCTCTGCCAACAGCTGATGGAGAGCTCACAGTGAAGCTGACTTGAGAGGAGGTAGGACGGAAGCTGATCTCATCACCTGCCAAAATAAAAGCCTGGTTCGTGCAAACCACTGAACTCTGAGACTTTTATTCTCTAGAATGTAATGAAAAAATGAAGCTGAGCAGTATCAGTGACATTAATCTCTCTACGGATCCAACTGTGGATTTATTTTCTCTGATTAATATTCATGCGTCTTTGATCTTAGTGAGGAAGTGCTGATCATAACTAACCACTGATCATTGGGGAAAGGGTATATATTTCTGGAAGACAACCAGTGTGTTTTTATAGCATGTCATTTTAGAACTGAGAGAACTACCATCTTTTATTAGAAGCTCTCACCATGCGCTGTGGGTGGCCAACTACTTTCTTACTTCTGGTTTAATTTGAAATAAATGAGTAAAAACAAAAATAGGGTTTCCAGATCTGAAGAAACGACGTGATGCTGCAGCATAAGAGCTCCGATAGACATAGGTGACTGAGATCACAACACATGTAGACAGCAGAGGCACCCCGGTCCCTTCTGATCAGCCTCAAGCTGCTGCTGCTGCTATAATAACCCCAGCAGCGTTTCTTCTGAATTATCATCTTTATGGCGAGTCTATTATAACTTAATAGCTTATTAAATTGTCTGGCCTGCCATGAAGAGACTCATAACAACCCAAATGGATCTCCGGACAGTTGTGAAAAGAAGAATTCTATCAGATTTGTTTCAGAGACAAAAGCCATTGATCAGACTTTTGATGATCCCCTGGAGCTCGCGCGCGCTCGGAACGATGCCACACATTCAATTGTCCCTCCACAGGCTTCCGTCACCCACAGTCAATGCAGAAGTTTTCACTGTAAAAGAGGCGAGAGGTGCGTGTTTGGTGAAGTGAACACAATGATGTTGTGATTTGGAGACAGAAGCTGAAGCTTCCTTGCGCGCGACGCTCTACTCTGCGCTCCGAAACAGCAGCAGCAGAAGACTTCGCTTCCTCGTTGCGCTGCTTATATAGAGGTCTAATTATAGCAGCCAATGGGAGAAGCAGCCAAAAGCACCACATCACAGACTCCGCGTCAGAGCTGACACCATTGGCTGGACACCTGAGTGGGCGGGGCTTATAAAAACAGGGATCCGATTGGTGTACGTAACATGATCACATGGGGGTGTGTTTGTTCGTAATTTTGAATCGGGGGGTGAAGTTTACAGTGCTCAGACAGACTTTTACTGAGTTCACTGTTTGTGCGCTCTCGGTGCGTCACGCGCTCAGAAGCTCCGCTGGAAGTGCGCGTCTCCAGACCTTCATACATGCAAATACAGCAAAGAAGCCAGCTTCTCTCCGACTGCAACACGCTGCTCCTTCTTCTCAAGATCACCAAACCCGCGTCTGCGTCTTGTGGCTGAATCAGAGCGGTGACATGGATGTCATTCCGATGTGTAGCATCTTCCAAGAGCTCCAAATTGTGCACGACACGGGATACTTTTCTGCTTTGCCTTCTCTGGAAGAGTACTGGCAGCAGGTAAGGCTCTGAATCCGCAGCGCGCCCCTCCGGCGTGATTGTCTGACCAGAGGAATGTGCGTAATTTAATTTGGGGAAACGTGTTTTGCTGTGACAGCTGCGCGCTGACGTGCAAATGTCAGAGGTGTTTGTTCCAGTCGGACTCGGAGAAATAGCTAAAATCAGTTTATCTCCGGTGTTTTTTTAGGGAAGTGATGCAATTTCCCCATTAATGAGTCCCCAAGTAACAGAAATAAGATGTTTTTTCCTGTCAAAGTCCCATTCTGGCTGGGTTAGGCTTTTGAAAAACCGTCACATCCTCTGTGGTGAGAAACTTTGCGGAAATAGCTCAGACATTGGTGTCATTTTTGCTATTTCTTCACGCGCAGTTTATATTCTGTCGAAGCTTTTATTTAGCGTAAAATCCTGGTCAAGGTGTCTGATGTCTGCGTGTTGTGGAGGCACGTCCGCGTGTGCTGGAATAAAAACATGCTGGGTTGCAGATGGAGAAGCTGAATAGCGAGCCGTGTGTGTCTCCTCCCCCTGTCCATGCCTCCCTCTCTCGTTCTGACAGGCGCGCGCGTGCGCGTGTACACAGACATGAGAGTGACAGGCTGACAGAGGGAATGACAGTTGGGACTGGTTTCTGCTCCTGCATGGCTTATCCACGCGGCCTTCGGAGGATGGAGCTGTTGGTGGAGTTTGGGTCTGGGAACGAGGAGCTCAGGAACGAGCTCTCAGTTTATCAGCCCTCCTCGGGCTCCGGGCCAAGTCGCCCTTTCAGGCATTTAAAGCTCGCCAGGGATTCATGCAGCTCTGCTGACGAGAGGCATCTGAATTCACTGCGTCCTCCTTCCTCCCCCAGTTACTCCTCGTGTTTTTATTTTTATTTTAAGACATAAAATCTCCACAAGGTTCCTCTAGATGACATAAAAACGCTTTAAAAATTATCAAACTTTCATTCTCCATGGACAGTTTGATCCATTGTGTATCATTTAATGCTGATTTTCATTGATGAGAGGCTTGAATCTGTCTATAAAATAAAACGAGCTTGGGATTTCCTCTTCTCCGTTTTTGCTCCAGTTCGTTTAGATATTGTTTGAAAGCTCCTGTGGTGAAAGTTCACTGGTTCACTGGTCCTCCAAGCTTGAAACAACTGCCACAACTTCTGACGGAAATTTGAAAGTGCTTGATCACAGGAAACCACGCAAGCATGAGAGCTGATGACATCTCAGGGTTAAGGAAGCGCTCGCTCACTTCCTTTATTTAAACACAGAAAAAAAGCTCACAATTCAACCGCGGCTCTTGAAGTATTCATGCCAGGCTTTTTATGGACCCCCACGAATCAGACCCCCCCCCAGTCCCTGCTGTGCTGTGTTATTTCTAGCGATGCATCCAAATGCATTATTAAATCCACATTATGTTGAATAATTGATGGATTTAAAAGATCTACAAGCACTTCTCTAACCCGGGGGGGGGGGGGGGGGGGGTGCTCTTTAGCATATGTAAATTTCATGACCAAACTCGGTGCGGACCGACACACACACTTACACTCGTGCAAACTCATGCATGTATTTACAAGCAGGAGGGCCTTCTTCTTGCATGCTCTCAGGATGATGTGCGGTTTGAGTAATCCTCCCTGATGTGGCCTCACTGGGCACCCTTAGAGTGCACTTTTGCATAGGACATTGTGTCTCGTTTGATTTCTGCAGACAGAGAGGAAGTAGGTTTATCAGTGTTACGGTGTTGCCGAATATCTTCCCCCTCCTGCTGCAGAGTGGAGGCACTGCACCGGAGAACACTCCAGCTTCCTGTGCAAACGGATGACTTCTTTAGTGGTTTTAGGGACGTTCTGGTTGAGTTCTGATGCTGGCTTTAGGCTCTGCTCACTCTCTCTAATCTTGTCCTCTTTCCACACAGACATGCCTCGAGCTGGAGCGATACCTCCAGAGCGAGCCCTACGTCTCAGCCAGTGACCTCAAATTTGAGAACCAGGAGGACCTGTGGAGCAAGCTGATGCTCGCCTGTGGGGACAAGTCGAACGAGTCTGACCCAAAGATCCCCCACATCAAGGAGGAGGTAGACAATCATGACAGTCAGCACCTGGATGGTGGTGGCTTCAACTCCGATGCCAGCAGCGAGGCCTCGGATAGCTCCGAGGAGCTCTCTCCCACCCTCGACTTCTCCTCCAGCACTTTGACTGATATTCTGGGTGACAGCGGTGAAGACTTGGGCTCTGCCATCATCAGCACACCGCCTTCCTCTCCTGAGCTCAGCAAGGAGGGCTCCGTGGCTCAGGTTTGGAGTGGGATACAGACTGTGCTGCACTCACCTGGAAAAATAAGGACTGGGGGCATGGAGAGGAGCATGGAAAGGTCCGGGTTGACCAGCGGGGAGGCCTCACCCGATGTCAAAAGGCGGGTACATCGGTGCCACTTCAATGGATGCAGAAAGGTGTACACCAAGAGCTCCCACCTCAAAGCACACCAGCGCACACACACAGGTAAACACACCTGGGGGGGAAGAAACCTGGATTCAGATTTCTGGCTCAAATCCTCCCACATACTTTGAATAGTTTGTCAGGAGGAATGCCCTCAACTATGACCTAATTCACACAGTCAACATGACTTCATGCAGGGAGGGAGGGGAGGGTGTGAGAGGGAGAGGTGGGAGGGACATCCCTTTGTGGCCTAGCAGCACCCAGAGGATGTAGATCCTGAAAACAAATCAACAGTTCTCAGATTTCACCATGGGAAAACACTCCCAAACTCTCGTTTGCATTCAGATTCAAAGAAAAACAAAGTGAATGAGGGAGAGAATAATTATGGGAAAGTGTCATTTGCTGTGTTTTGTTGGGGGGGTTCAAATATGAGCCGTTTCCCTCGTCACCTCTGACCTCTGCCAGGCGGTTTACAGCGGTGCCGCCTATTAGCGGAGGAAGTCCCATTCCTCGCATCTCTCTCTGACCATGTTAGGCTCATGGCTAATAGCCTTCAGAGCCATTAGAAACACTCCAGGCTTTTTTTCCCTCGTGCCCCCCCACCCCCACCCCCAGCCCCGTTACATAAGCTCTCCACTCCAGCAGCTCAGCACAGCTGCATACCACAGATCTCCAGACTCACAAGGTTGTTTTTCTCCTCAGCTTATAGTAGTCAGTCAGCCCAGTCCACTCAGGGATTAGGCTTTCCCAGAAACCACGACCATATCAGCGCTGCACTGTAAATATTAGCTCATATTTGGAGGAGTTTAAAATGTTAAATATTATGGTTAGAGACCCGGACCGTGAACTCAGAGGTACCATTTGTCAGGAGCTCTGGCACTACTTGAACTTTACTGATGTACTTCTCGTCTCTGATTTTTGCAGGTGAGAAGCCTTACAGGTGTTCATGGGAGGGCTGCGATTGGCGCTTTGCAAGAAGTGACGAACTCACCCGACACTTCAGGAAGCACACTGGAGCAAAGCCATTTAAATGCAGCCACTGCGACAGGTGAGAGTTGAGAAGGTGCAGGGAAGTTGGTAAAGAAAATGTCAGTTTTTCAGGAGGCTAAGAGGTTTTTGTTGTTGTAGTGGCTAAATAGTTTCCAAAGCAAAAGGCTGATTAGGATTGTATGCTAACTGAAGGCAGCAGTAGCTACGGAGGCTGTCCGGTACTCAGACATTATTCCTACTGACCACATCACTGTTGAGGTTGAGCGATAAAATCTCAAATGCCTTCTCTCTCTCTCTCCCCTACCAGGTGTTTCTCCCGCTCTGACCACCTGGCGCTGCACATGAAGAGGCACATCTAGGATGGCCTCCATGTTGAGAGCTCTGAGGGATGAGTCTGCTTGATTGTCCTGACCTGTAGGGGATCAGCAAGGCCGGCGTGTCCTGGGAGCATTAACGGGAGCACCGCCGTGTTCCAGTCAGTGGGAAAACACGAAGCAACGCAGGCTATTATTTGCACCATACTCAGTGCCTCCAACACCTCGCTGTGGTGATTGCTCCTGAAAGGCTTTTTATGGAGGAGAGGGACGGTGAAGAGGGATTTGATGAAAAAGAAAATGGGGAAAGATCTTGGCCGGAGTAGATGGGAAGACTCTTCTGTATGGTGTCCAATGCTTTTTTTCTTCTGTTCCTGGAGGATTTTGGGGACTCCAAGGGTGGAGGTCTCACCCCTCCACCGACAGTGTGTCTGCCTGTACGCGTGGGACTGTGAGTGCCTGTGACTGGATCCCTGAGGCGGAGCGGATGGAGCTTGTGCGTGATTGATCTGCAGGGTGTGAGATTTTCTTTTTGACGGGGTGTTATCTGTTGTCTCACTAAGAATGAATGCAAGCAAAAAAAAAAAAAGGTTCTGTCTGTGTTGAGTCTGTTTGCTGGGACGGGGAGTGTTGTTTAGTGGAACTGATAAACGCCAGAGGTCGCCCCCTATCTGTCTGGAGGTGGAACAACGGCTCCCCGTTCAAAGCTGAGAGGATGTTTTGTTTAGTGCAGCTATTAAATGTGCAATGTATTACGTGGCCTGTCTCGGAACATACACGCTATAAAGCTCATTTTGTTGTTTCAAAGCCTTGTATCTAAAAATGTACAGTTATTTCCATTATAACAGACATTGCATGGGATCTGGGGGATGTGTTGCTGACTTTTGCTTACAGGACCAAGTGCAGCTACCATCATGATAATATCAGAGCATTGTACAAAAACACATAAGGCAGTCTTTTTCTTGAAGTTGGGGAAACCACTATTGTTTAGTCTTGATTTGGGGGATTTTTTCTTTCTTCACATTTGCTTTTTGGTTTAGTTCTATCTGTAAATGCACTGTTGACCTTACTGATGCCTTATGTAAGTGGCCTTGTCCTGTTGAATAGATCACGCTCACAAACACCAAACGGCCATTGCTAATGCAGTAGTTTGTTATTGAAAAGCTTTATTTAGGCTCTGATCCATACAGTTGCACCTTGTTGCCCTTTTTCTCTCACAACACATTTCTTTACACTCTTTATAATAGTAAAATATCAGTTTCTGATGACTGCCGTTTTTACCTTTCTGTTCATTTATTTCTTGAATTCATCGCAGAATGAACTCTTCTAAACAACCCTGTGGAAACCCAGATGATCTTTGAGCGTTTTACTACTGTGTAGTACAGGAGGATGTGGATGCAATGCAGACGAGCTCTAAAATGCTGGAAGAAGGTACCGAGCTGTGGAAACGTGTTCTCATGACATGTTGTGGTCGGTCGCAAATGATGGTGGCACAACAGATTTTACAGCGAAGGAAAGGCGTCCGTCAGAGGCGTTTCTATTGGCCGATGTTGAAAACAAACATTCTCTAGAGCGAAATACATGTCCCACGAAGTTATGACCGCAGTCTCGGTCACGAGTCTGCTTTGATGTTTGCTTTGTTTAGTCTCGCTCCCAGCGAGTATGTGTCTCTCCTCCGTTTAAACAACCTTTAATCCAACTCTAAGTGGTACCAGGACCGGTCGGACCAGTTCAGCCGAGCTGTGGTTCAGGTCTGAAGGTTTCTGTGAGCTGAGGTGGGACTGGGACCAATTTCACATTCTGCATGTTTGAGCAGATCATATCAGTTGGATTAATTAGGATTATTGCATCAGTGTTCCTGGTCAGGGTTTAACCCACAGTACGGCTGAACGCTGACAGGAACTTCACAAACATCTTGTTTATGCGCCGGTCCACCTGTTGCACATTAACAGAACACTCGTTTTTACTCTGAGAATTGCAATTAGACGTTACATTGTAAACTAAAAGTTTTCTAAGGATGCTTATATTTTGAATGGAAATGGGACCAAAAGCAGGAGCAAAGTGTTGTTTGTAATAAAAACAATAAAAGGCTGAAGAACGACGTTAAAATAGATGCACTCCACGTTTCTTGCGTTTGTTTGTGCAACATCTTAGAACAGATGCATTCTTTAAATGTCATCAATGGCATCTACACCTGTGGCCTATCATCTTTCAAATAAAACAACAGAAAAACGGTTTGACGTGAATTGTTCTGGACACTTGAATTGTCATCATTTTGCATTCTGGTGCTCATGTAGTTTGATTATTTTCACATATTTTTTTTCTCTTGTCAAAGACCTACAACTATTCCCTGTCTTTAGCTAGAAAAAAACTATTGGATAAACATGGAAAAACGAGGCTCTATTTTTGTTCATTTTTATTTCATTTGAAATTGTTTTGTAAGATAGTTTCTGTATGAATGTATTTTTTATTGAAAAATGGATAAAACAGATGATTGGTTCTACGTGTGGTTCTGGTTATCTTTCCCTGTAGTTCTCTCATGACCTGAATCAAGTGGGAATTGAACGTTCATGGGATATTCTGCAGTTTCCCAGAGGACAAATTAATTCAGTCGTTCTCCCTCCTCCTCTAGAGGTCAGAAGTTGGGGTCGGCTTCAGAAACGGAGCAATTAGTTGTGGTTCACTTACTAGAATGTGGTTCACATTGCAGATGCGAGGCGTCCTTTTATGGAAGTTTCTTAGTTTTCCATAAAAGCGATGGTTGGTGCATTTTCTGAGGAATAAATGTGGGATTTAGTGGCAACACAGGCATCCATAATAGATAAAACAATAAATAAATGTGTTATTGTGATGAAAACAGTCCCTTGCGGACGCAGCGCTGCACAGCATCATGCTAATGCATGTGTAGTTTTATAAAAATGATAAAAAAAGGAAAAACAATATTTTATTGCCCATAAGAGATCTGATTTGAACAGATTTTAAAAAATGTCCAAAAGTAATAATTTGTTGGTAAATGTCATTCCTATTAAAGACCATTAATGAATTTTATCAAAAACAACAGTCAATGACCACCGAAGCTGTGAAAGGTGACATTTCAGTTCCAAGACACGTAATCGTGGTCAAAACAGACATTGAGCTGAACATCTTATCACAGTATTAGAGTGATTTTAAAAGGTGCTTGCAGCAAAGAACGTTCTGTTCCTGCTGTTACAGCCAAGAAAGCCGAGTTTTCATCTTAGACTCTGAGAAATTCATGCAAATGAAGTTGTGCCACAAACAAATCCCTGATAAGAGCTCTGCTCACTACAGAGACAAATGGCCTCTTCATCTCCGATTGCAAACACAAACTGCCTTAGTTTAAACACCCCTCCGCCGAGCCCGAAACTCCCCCAGCCCCACAGCGGCTGAATTATTCAAGTGTTCTCAGGAGGGTTTCTGTCTATTTGTCTGTCTTGTATTGCCATTTTCACTAAATACATGTGAAACGTGAAAAAAAGACTAAATAAAAAGCAATAATGTAAAACTGAAAACTAAAATCATGTTTAAACCGGATCAAATGAACATGGTTTCCAGTCAGGAGAATTGCTCTTCCAACAATTGGGAATTTGGCCAAAGTCTTTTTTTTCCCACCAATTAACTGAATGAAAACATTTGTATCAGGTAAATATGCATGACTGTGCCACACCTGAATTGGCCTTATTGCCATCCTCGCAGGGGTAGGCAACCCTGGACCGAGAGAGCCACAGTCCTGCTTGTTTTCCAACTTTCTTTGTTGTTGCTGCTGTTGATTACCTGGATCAGGTGTGTTCAGCCAATTAAAAGCTGCAAGTTCATACATGGCTGGATTACATGCCGGACTGCGGCTCTCTAGGACCAGGGTTGCCTACCCCTGCTCCAGAGGAACCAGCCTTCCCGTTGTGCACACAGGGTGGAACATGAATCTGGTCAGCTGGTGGAGAGGGCGATCTTATTCAGCGTAAAACCCTGAATGTTGGTGCTTTTTCATCTTGGTATGTACAAGTTACGTAAACTTGGTCGCTTGAGTCATAATAGGTAAAGTATAGGCACGTTAGTTTTCAAGACTCACACCTTCTTCCTACTGGACGTGAAAGCGCTGCATAATATAATGGTGCAGTTTTACCCCAAGCTCATTCCCAACCGGAAGCATTTCAGACGTGAGACAGGAGCTAAAGCGTTCCGCACAGCTGATCCCAATAGGTCACAAAATCACGGGAGAATTGCAACACCACGCGTGATTTCAGAAGTCCACACACAATAATAAGCAAGAAGTTCTGTGATTTATTCTCAGTTCAGTTTACCTCAACTACAAGGGTTTCACAGGAAATGATGTATGTTTATCTGCATGCGACTTTTATTTAGAACGTTTCTGGATGTTTTACACTGCCATTGTGTTTAACTTCCTGTCTGGCACGATCTAAACTGCAGAGTTTGACGTGTTATGGAAGCGTAGCGTGAAGAAATAGTTCAGAAACATAAAAATTGCGTTGAATCTCTTCTGGGGCAACGTGAAGACACTTCTCTGTTTTCTCTGGCTTTTGCAAACCAGTTGTTAAAAAGCTGCTCTACAGAAACTATTTATGCTGAAAGCATTGTGATCTTTTCTAGTTGGGTCAGTCGTTCCTTCAGCTCCAGACATGAACTCTGCACCTGCACCTTCTCATGAGCTCACCTGTTCCTGTTGTGTAATCACCTTCCGCTGTTTAAAATCAGCCCATTTCACTCCTTTCTCCTCCAGCTGTTTTAGCTACCAGTTGCCCCAGTTACCCCAGTTCCATGTCATGTTTTTTTCTGACAAATGTGTTGATTTGGTTCTTGGTTTTACTGAAACCTTTTTGGAGCTCACCTCCTTGGGCCTTACATTCATGCTCTCACCTACGTGGGTGTGAAGAAACTAGTGTCCCTGTGAAAATCCCTGGCATGCATGAGAACACACGCGCTCCAAGGAGGAATCAACCCTCTGAGTATTTTTTCAGACAGATTTAAAATGTCATTAGGGCTCTGTTGTTTATTGGAGTTCACCGAATGGTTTGACGACTTCATGCACTTGACAGGGACTAAACAAAAGTAAAGAATGACCCAAAAAAGAAAAGACAATAACATTAATAACCAAAAAACACGTCTGCTTGGTGGCACAGTTTCTGTCAGACGAGAGCATGAGGAGGTTTCCACCCCCTCCTCAACATCTGGCCTGTTGTCAGGACTCTAATAAAGAGTCAGAAGTTAAAATCCCCCCAGAAAAGAACCTAATCCAGAAAAAACAAGGATAATTACCAAAACCTGTCTTGCTCGTTTAATAGAATTCCCAACACCTTCATTAAAAAACAAAAACACTTTGTTTACATGTTTGTTTTTCCTAAATACTCTAAAATATTAAAATTAGCATTTAACTTAAAGGGGCATTATGGAAGTTTGACAGCCAAAACATGTATAGAAATAATGAATTTCTTCTTCATACATTCTCCTGCAATGCCCTGGTCCTGTAGAATGAGCCCTGGCATTTTTACTGTGATTGCCTGTTTTTCTGTAAAATCACAGAAAAAGAGAGCTGCTCGGGTCGAGCAGGCTGCTTCATGCGCGTTCACGCTCAGGCATAGCCCTCCGAACCGTTCATTGAACGTTGTTTCAGCTATCATCAAGAATATAAATCTTACAGATACAGATGACATCACTGGTGGTTTAGCTCGCATAGTAAGACTTCGGCCTTTCGTGCAGAAGACCGGGGTTTGATTCTGGATGTAAACACAGTTGTTTTAGAGTTTATATTTTACATTAATGGTATATTTTTTTACAGTAAGATGCCAAATTTTTATTTGAGACAAGCCAAACGGCATTGAATTCACAGATAAAAGATGTGGGTTCAACTTTCATTTTGGAACAATTTTTCATGCAAGGGAAGGGAATGATCTGAGCATACAGGAGGACTGACCCATAATAAACCTTTGTCGGCTGTGCTGAAGAGAAAGGTACAGAACCAAATTATTTAATTAATTAGCTGCGCGTTCTCCTGTCCTCTGTCCTGCGGGCCACACACACACATACACACACACACACACACACACACACACACACACACACACACACACACACACACACACACACACACACACGCACACACACACACAAGGGACTGTCTCAGCTGTTATATTCGTTAAGGAGTGTGCACGTACAGCATGCGCGCCTCGTGCACGAGCCTACTATTGAAGCTGCCTTTACGCTTTTGGCCTGAGGGGGCAATCGCGAGCATAACAATTCAAAACTCCGTAAAGTCCCTTTAAAAATCTACAAATTTCCAGAAATAAGGGAGAAGGTAAGGTCTCAGTTACAGGCAGACATTCTAATGATCCACTTGACCAAAACGTCTGCGCTGGACTGGCTCTCTGTCCAGGGTGTACCCCGCCTGATTGCCCATTGACCGCTGGAAATAGGCACCAGCCCCCCCCCGCGACCCTACGTGAACAAAGTGGGTTCAGACAATGGATGGATGACCAAAACGTCCTGTTCCTATGGCTTCAGTTTCATCAGATATTTCGTCTAATTCAGGTATTTATTTGTGAATAAATATATTTTTATTCATTTTAGAATAAAAACAGGTAAACCTGCTGAGGTTAGCAGACTCGGGATTCTTATTTGACTGTTTTTGCCTACTGAACAGTCTGAAAGGGATTTAAACATCAAGCTTCACCAAAGTTACCTCTTCGCTTAATATGAGCATCAGTTCTGATGGAGCCTTGTAAAATAAAACATGCACTTAGATGATGAATTCACATCCAGAGTTATCAGTGAACGAACGAGAACGTTCAAGGACAACCAGGAAAACAAGATCTTCCCCAGAGCAAGGCTCCACCACATGCACATACGTGCACACACACACACACACACAGACACACATTCCTCCCCCTCCTCTCAGCTGCTGCGTCCTGTGGAGCTGGAGCTCGGGGATAGAGGGTGAAGGCAACGGGAGGGGGGAGGGGGGGGGGGGGGTCTTATTGAACCAGAAGTAAAAGTGTCCCCACATGGGGATGGTAACCTGTCAGGTTCCCGTCACCTGGAAACCTGACGGATGGATTCTGTTTATATTGAGCTAAAAGCTAAAAGCTGTTAATTCAGCCTAATGGGACGTTTGCTGGCCTCCAGTGATTCCTAATCTTTCCACTTAGGTCTGGGTGTTTACTTCAGCTTATGCATAAGAGCCGGACGCTCGGAGACAAGAACATCAGGATTAAACACGGATGCTGAGAAGCACTTATTTTTTTAACTGGACGGATAAAAGAGCTAACTCTGTCTTTGGGAACATTGTCATTTCATTCAAATACATTTTATAGATTATCTTATAAATAAATACATTTAAAATCTGAATATTTCTGACAGGTTTCTCTCTGGATTCCCAGTAGAGTCTAAACTGGTGTTTTACATTCAAACTGGTGTTGGACAGCAAAGGAAGAGACACATTTCTGCAGGTTTCCACTTCACAAACGAAACATC